TTCTTCTATCACTCCTATCTGCTCTTGCTCCAAATCTTCTGCAACCCCCTGCATCCTAGTGGCTTCACGCCTTGCTCGGGACGTAATGCTTAATAAAAAAAAAAAGAAAAGCTCCTGATCATACATGGCAACAGTAATCCATTGTCGTCTTGATATGGCCCTTGTAAAGGCAGAAGATAGCATTTTAATTTTAATTTGAAAATTTACTTTTTTCCTCTATTCGGAACTGAACAAGGATATGTTCCGGTTCATTTCCGACCTAAAAAAATAATAAAATGAAAAAAAAGTAAACTAAAAGTCAGTATTAAACACAGAGGAAGGTTGCAAGAGAATTTGTGTGTGTGTGTGTGTGTGTATGTGTGTGTGTGTGTGTGTGTGTGTGTGTGTGTGTGTGTGTGTGTGTTTTGGCGGGGGTAAGAATTTTAAAAACAAATTCATGTCAACTAATTAAAGAAATGTAGGAAGGCAAATGAGTGGCAGTGAGTGTTACAGGAAAGCGGCCATTTTCTCAACATCTTGAGCGATGGATTGTATGTACAAGTTTCACTTGGAGGTCTGCAGTGAGTTTAAGTTCCAATAGGTCCTCAAGGCACGTAGCCTCCATGAGGGAACATCCGTTCATCGCTATTGGTGAAAATTCTGGGTTCGATCGATCCCATTAAATAATATACAGTCAGTGATTTCATATTTAAATACACACAGAAACGTCCACGTGTGACTAAGTGAACGTGTGGTCGCATTCAAGTTATTAGCATTAATTCCTGGTTGTAATCGTTGCAATGTGTGAATATTTAAACATTTCATAAGCTGAAACTGCTTCAGTCTTCCCGACACTACTCCAACCCACATCGCCACCCAGCCCCATTTGCAATCACGTCTTGCCACTGCATAAATAATCATTTAAAAGCTTTATAAGATGACTACTTATAAATGTGAATGGGTGTGAAACGGCACTCGACACTGTTGTCCTGTTATACAAGTTCAAACATTTGAAAACAATTTAAAGCAATTGGAACTCTGACATTTTTTTAGTCTATTTTTATTGCTTTTTTTTTCTGTCAGTTTGTTTATCCATTTGATTAATGCAGACATACTTATAGCGTCCGTAATATTTTCTGTTATCTGACACGCGTACGTCCACCAAAAATTACAGTGACAATTCTGTTACAACCCAGCATTGATGAATTCATCAATATATATATATATATATATATACATACATACATATATATATATGTGTGTGTGTGTGTGTGTGTGTGTGTGTGTGTGTGTGTGTGTGTGTGTGTGTGTGTGTGTGTGTTGAGCCACAGAAGAGCGTTTCGGTTAGCAAGGTCGATTTTACTGTTTTTAAACTACAATTCTCCATAATTTTCTCTCGTATATTCATATCTGCTCGATGCGTATCCAAATGTAAACAAATGACGTCACACATTATGAAATGAACAAAGTCCGACAATTATTTTAAGACATTTTTTATGTTTATACGTTCTTTTTATAGATACAAATATTTAAGTAAATACTCTGTTTATAATAAACAGCATTAACGACATTTTCATAGAAAATATGCGTCCTCCGATAAATGTCGTTAATACTGTTTATTATAAACAGAGCATTTACTTAAATATTTGTCCATTTCATGCTGTGTGGCGTCATTTGTTCGCATTTGGATACGCATCGAGCAGATATGAGTGCACGAGGGAATATCATGGAGAATTATAATTTAAAAAAAAACCCAGTAAAATCGACCTTGCTAACTGAAACGCTCCTCTGTGGCTCAATACATAAATACATACATACATACATATATATATATATACACACACACACACACACAACCGCCAATTATCTTTACCAGGAACAATCATGGCAATGTATAATTTTACATAAAAAGAAAAGTTGTGGAGAGCTATGGTCGCTTGTATCTAGAAAGGACTTAAAAGAGAATAAAAGTAAGAGTAAGTGCCAATATCTCATAAACAATGGACTACTCTGTTTTGACGTCGAGGAAAAAAAGGAAAAGACATATTAGAGATGCTGTTTTGTTTCAGTGAAAGAAAGCATGTACAAAAACTATTTGTAGATGACGAGAGATTTGGACAAAGTTCTTTTTTTTTTAAAGAAATTGTCATGAACGGAAATTAAATAAACGTATGGATAAGAAGGAAAATATGAATGTCTTAATACCCATAACTGCGCATGCGTTTTGCAATAAGTTTACAACGCTGACTGAAATTTATTTACACAGCTCTCTTCATTTAAAACTGAAGCAGATGTTTTTTTAAGCCAATGATCAATGATTCTACTAAAACATTTTTAAATGCTGTGTTCCTTAATAAAACTTTAAGAAGAGCATCAGTTTTCAGAGTCTTGTGTGGTATAATAATAATTATCGTGATTATTATTATTATTATTATTCAATAGAATCATTGATAGTTGAAAATTATAATTATATCATTATCACCCTCATTCTCGTGATTGACATCGTTATTGTTGTTCTTACATTTGGCATTGTTATTGATGCGGCAGATGGGGAAATACATTGAAAGAAAGAAAGAAAAAAAAAGAAAGAAAGAAAGAAAATGTGTATAAGACAAAAAAGAAAAGCACATCTAGAACATGTGGGCTATAATAATAATAATAATAATAATAATAATAATGAAGAAGAAGAAGAAGAAGAGAGGAAGAAGAAAAGGGAAGAAAGAAGTAACAAAAAAGATCAGAAAAAGAAAACGAGAAAAACGTAGAAATAAAAGAAGGCGAAGGAAAGTAGAAAAGAATAAAGAATGAACAATGGAATGCGAAAAAAAAAAAAGAAAAAGAAACGGGAAGAAAGATCCTCCTCACTGAAAATAATGAAGGAAAAGAAAAACAGAAAGACACATTTTCTAAAAAGGGTTGTTTTATACCGCGTACTGTCTGCCATTGTTCGTTTTATTCTGTTGTCTGGAAAATTCGGAAAGACGCTTTATAAGAATAAGTTCCCACAAAAATTCTCATCGAAAATTATAAACAATGTTATTATTATTATTATTATTATTATTAGAGATCCTCTCCGAATCAGAAGTTTCGGCCGGGTGATAATGATTATAACTCAGCTTTTCACCACAGCTTAGAGGCACAACACTTCCCTCAATTGATGAACTGTTCCATGTATTGCTGTCACCTGAGCACTCCCAATAATGTTAGATATCCCCGAAAGGTCTTGGGAGGTAGAAAGATTCATGGAAATAGTCTTGAGTGTACCAACTTCAGTTGTGGCGGCTGCCATTTAGTAAATTTCTCCGATTTGTCGTGCCAGGTTTTGGTATCTCGGTATTATTTTTCCTTTACGATGTCTTTATCGTAATGTATTGCAACTTTTGTCAGGTTTCATTCATGGCTTCTCTTGAGCAATAGTGTGAATTCAGGACGATTGCTTTCCAACTGCTTGTCAATCGTATGGTCTTATGGTGGTGAATGCTCGTGTCACTACTGTGTGCACTCGCAGCCATACAACCAACACAGTTTCCAATGTATTTTTAGGGTTATTTTTTCACAAAGAACAGGCAGCTTTCTTCTAAAATGAAGAACGAAAGCAGTAGTAGTACAGGAAGAAAGGAAAAAAGGAACAATAGAAAGAAATGAAGCGAAACATGGAGAAAAGAAAGTTGCAAAAGCAAAACGAAAATTTAGAAAATAAAATTAAGAAAGAAAGAAAGAAAGAAAGAAAGAAAGAAAGAAAGAAAGAAAGAAAGAAAGAAAGCTAATAAAAAAAAATCATGCGAGCAGAAAATTCACTTGAAAAAGTTGTGGTATTCTAAATTAAAAACACAAAATAAATATAGAGAAAAATAAAAACAGAACGAAAAAAAATACTAAAAAAAAGGCCCAAATTAGGAAAGCATAAAAAAAGCCAAACCAGGAGTATCCATTTTCTTCCTATGTTATAAACAAGGATTTTTTTTAATACAAAAACAAAAAACGATAACGTAATGAGCAAATGTTTAACGTGAACTTAGCAGACGACATAATAAACAAGAGAGAAATAGGTGTGTCCTGCGTTAACGGTAAAGATTCGAAGGTAGGATGTTTAATTAGGCAAGAAAAATATGACTGTCCTTTCAAAAGTGACATGTGCTTTTTTTCTATAACATTTTTGACGATAAAAAATATTAGAATGAATAATAGCGAATGTGATTACAAAAGAAGGAGGAGAAAGATTCTATGGACTTTCATAATGGTCGCTGTTGTGAAGAGAGGCGATAGGATGAGAAAGAGGAAGAAAACGTCGAATAGTAAAGTAATAATTTAAATGTCTAACATCATCATCTTCATTAATACGACTGCTACGGTGGTAATGCCAACCTCCCTGCTCTCTGCTTCATTCACAAACAACCATACAATAATAACAATGAGGCGGTGTAAAAAAATAGACACGACTGGGTAGGAACGGTGATCCACTAGCAATTGTACAAATGAATAGGATTTGACTAAGAAAAACGGTATCTAGTAAAGTAATATGTACCCGGGACCTGTAAAAAGCTAAGACCTTACTCTATTTATACGTATTTTAGTAGACACCCGATATTTTTTAAACAGCGAAATTAATGTCTACGAGACGGGAATCAAAGAAACATCTTTCAGGTCAAACTAGCTTTATCATTAAGCTACAGGAAGCCATAAGAAATGTACATCTCCCGTTGGGATCCAACGAAGTCTATATGTGCTGACTTTAATTTTGTACGCGATATTAAGCAATTAAATGATTTAATGTCGGATTAAAAAATCCATTAAATTTAAAATTACTTGTTTATGTTTCAAGTACAAAAGTGCAGATATAAACATTTAAAATAATCTCTCTCTCTCTCTCTCTCTCTCTCTCTGTGTGTAATATATATCTGTGTGTGTGTGTGCGTGCGTGCGTGTTCGTGCGTGTGTTTTGACAGCCCTGCTTGGAACAGCTCATCTGTTGAGGAAAGAGTTTTGTCTCTAACCTGTGAGTAGGAGCTGAGATATAATCATTATCACCCGACCGAAACATCATCATCATTATTATTATTATTGTTTTATTTCCTTTGATATCTGGTGTATATTCATTTCTTTCCGGGTCCCGGCCAGAGACCTAAGGTCAGAAATAGCAGCATAACATTTTCCACTGAACAGTTTTGAAAAAAAAACGCAGATATTTTACATAGATAAATCCCTTCGTAAAGTGTGAGCTGTACTTGTGAGTATATTTTTTTATATTTCTTTGAGGCATGGGCTACCAGGGATTCCTTCAATGACTCTATTGGAATATTTTCCAATCAATCCGAGGGCTTCTCCAACTACAACTGGAATTGTTAATGTCCTCATGCGGCACATTTTTGAGATTTCGATTTCAATGTCCTTGTATTTTGATAGATTTATTTTTAAAGATCTTCAAAGATACATTACAGTCTTCAGGGACTGCCATGTTAATAAGGATTTTGTCTTTGCCGTCTGTAATGACGATGTCACGACGATTTGCTTTGATTGTTCTGATTGTGTGTTTTGTAAAGTTTTATAAATCTTCGTAACCAATTATGATCATTATTATTAAATATAAAATATTATATATTTTTTTAATCATTTCACACCTAGCAAGACAACAAAGTCACTAAAACTAAGTGCAAAAGAATATGAGAAAAGAAAAACACTATTAAAGAGTAAGAATAATATAAGTACAGAAAGAGAATTAACATTGCATTTAATTTTTTGAAAATAAAACTTCACTGGAAAGTACGAAACTGGAAGACAGTTCCACAGAAATTGTTAGCATAGAACCTACGGTTACAGCTAGCAATTTCAACTATAAAATGATGATATACTGCGCGTAACGCTTTGAGCCTTGACCACCGCTTTAAGGGTGGTAGAGAAAAATCACGTAATGCCCAGCCACCAGTTGAACAGTGGTAGAAAAAGTAACTTTTTTTTGTATTTACTCGACCCCCACGAGGCCTTGTTGTGAAACAAGGTCGGTTTAATGTAGGGAGCCCGAGTGCGTACACCCGGGCTTGGAACAAAAATTGCTCGCCGCCCCCGCCACACGGTTGCGCTGGCTTCAGTGCGAGCATCGACCCCTCTCTTTGACGGAGCCGCTCCTGAGCGCATTCTGCCCAAAGACAGAGACGCAACTGAGAGATGAGATATAATGTGTTACAAACTACTCGAGAGAGTAATTTACACACTAGAGAAAATGACTTAATACCCAGACACCGGTAGAACGGTGGGTAAACACTTGTAACTATTTTTATATCTACCGTGAAACATTGCATACCAATTATTTGCGAATTTTGACTCAGGAGAAAGGGTTAAAATGGTTCAGGGACGCTAGGCTCAAATGGTTAATGTTGTAATGGAATAACTTGTCACCCTCATGAGTGACTACGCTATAAGTAGTAATTACCTATAAGTATCTGTAAATCAAGAGACTACGGAGACTAGCTGGGATCTGTTCCAGCTAAACAGTCGAACTCTCTGCCTTCGGGCAGAGAGGAACCCAGACGAGGTTCCGCCAAATGGCAGAGATTGTTCAGGGAGGTAGACTGCCCCTGAACCCGTTTATGCGAGTTCGAAAGGGAATATTTTTGGCCGAGGCTACGTGCTCAGAGAATCCACATTAAACTGGCCTTGTGCGACATGCAACCCTCGTGGGTGTGGCTAAATATACTAGCTGTGATCTGTTCCATCTAAACAGTCGAACTCTCTGCCTTTGGGCAGAGAGGAACCCGGACGAGACTCCGCCGAAGGGCAGTCTCTCATTCGGGGAGGTAGACTGCCCCTGAACCCGTTTAAGCGGGTTCAAAAGGGCATATTTTTGGCCGAGCCTACGGTCTCGGAGAACCCGCGTTAAACCGCTCCTGTGCCACATGCAACCCTCATGGGGGGGGTAGCTAAATATACTAGCTGGGATCTGTTGAGTATGACTCAGACTTATGCGAGAACTACCGACCTTCCAAGAGTAGCACTCACTACTGGATTGATTTGTGCATAACTCTTACCTTTATTCATATTGTACTGGTTTTTTTACAATAAACCTTTACTTATTTTATCCACCTTGTTTTTCAAGTATATATTCTTATTAACACGGAATATAACAGTTAATTTAATCTAGGTACCATAGAGGAAATCTCAGCAGAACAATCGCGCCATGAAAGTATTTCTACAAAAGGCACAGGGAAGCCATATTACAGCGGTGACAGATGCCAAGATACCAGATCAGAATCTATAACATTGCAGATTCTTCTTAAGAATTTATCAAGGATCTTTAAATATATAACAAGAGCACCAGGCCAGATATGACAGCAATACTGAAAACAAGGACGAATGGTAGATTTATAAATATGTAAGATAGATTCTGGAGAGAAAAATTGTCTAGCACAACACAGTGAACCAACTTCCCTAGCGGAAAACCTATAATTTTTGCACATCTCGTTGTAACATCGGTTTCTGTATAATCACTGAATTTAAACAACGTCAATCCTGGTTAGTATCTAGATGGTTGACTGCTTAGGGATACTAGGTGCTGTAACTTTGAATGTTTGGGTGGACTAATGGATACTGACTCGGAATTGTTAATTCGTGTTCTAATTCCAGTTAGGTTTGTTATATTCAGTTAAGCGCAAAATACACTTGGGAAAGGTATGAATCCACCGCTTCTACTCCCCCAGCTATGGGTTAATTAGTAAGAGTTGTATCACTAAACTATTATTATCTAAAAAAAAATCTTACAATCTAAAAATATTTTCTGGCTTTAAATAGCCTACAGTGGGTTGATAAGTTGTAAAAAGCAAAATCAAATATCTAGCGATGTGATAAGGGAACTTATATGGATATTTTATTGTCATAGAACTCGCCGTTGGCTTATTCAATTATAACTTAAGAAAATTAAACTAATCAGAAAATTTAACTAGGAAAACCGCTTACAGTTATTTCTAGCATATATTAATTTTTTAAGTGTCAGATTTCATTTTTATTTAATAAAATCTTTCACGTACGACTGTGACTTACCCCCCCCCCAAAAAAAACTTTCTCTACAAAATAACGGTGTATCTTAGGCACCAATGCATATTATATTCAGATGAATATAGTACATATAACGGTGTTCATATATAACCGCACGTAATTATTTGTGTCCTTCTACCAGACTAGAATAAAAAAATATCTATAATGGGCGCCTTTCCATTGTGTAATATGCTAGCAAGTCATTTGTGCTACTGTGACCTCCACCCTCATCGGTTTCTCCATTATCTTATCCTTGTGCCAGCCTAAGATAAACCCAGTAAATAGTTATACAAAGAAATACAAATGGATGGATCTATATCAATAAAAATTTGATCCCACATGAATTATTAAACCTAAGCTGAGGGTTTTCAAGACTGAAGTCAACTGCCGGGACGGTGAGAGAGAAATCAATGGTCATGTGACCAATACCAGATTACAAGTGGAGGGAAATTGGCTGTAGTTTGACCTGGTGACAAATGGGTTTTGCCATTTCTATTTGTCCTATGTAGGAATGTATAGCTTCTCGGCGTTCAACTGGTCAGGTTGTCAGCGACCATACGAACACACTGGATAATGAAACTTGATGAATATTGATTAGTTATTATACGAAAGAATTAATTAATCCATGTTTGGGTATCTGAAAATATATAAGTTTCAGTGTAAACCATCATATTATAAAAAAAAGAATGCAGGACTGTTATGTAATATTTTATCTCTTATATGATAAGACATGCTGGACAACTTGTTAGCAAAGAGATTTGAAGCAGCAGAGACATCACTCTACCAACGAACGCAGTGAATACCATGGACATAACATGTGAGGAACAAGGAAGTTTTGACGAAAAAAATAACTACAGTCAGAGAGTGGGAAGTGAAATTTATGGAAATCATTTAGGAAAGTGGGCGTAAAGAACTTAACACTCACAGGAAATATGACGAAGAGAGAAGCCAGGAAAATAGCGTATAAGCTAATGGATTTCTCTGCTGGCATAACAAGGATATTAAAGAATGGTAAAGGTTTGGTTTGGTTTGTTTTGTTTTACGGCATATCAACCTCAATGGGTTATTTAATGCCGACAAAATTTTCAGTGTTGGTAATATTTTTTGCCAAAAATCTATTTCTGGTAATGTTTTTTTTTTTTTTCAAAAATGTATTGATTGTAATAATTCTTTTTTTTTTTACAAATTATTTCTGGTATTAAAACCTATTTTTACACTTTCATAGTGTTTTGACCCCAGTTAACTATTTACCCATAGCTGGGACCCTAACAGGTGCTACCACCCCGGGTCAGAGTGGACATGGGAACACCACAATTAAGAGGTGGTTCCACGCTCCTCAAAACCTCCTGATCAGAGACCTTGCAGTTGGACATAAGTTATCGTCTTACCCAGGACGCGGATGTAGTTTATCGTCATACCCAGAACGGGAATGGTAAAGGATGAAAACTAACTTTAAAAAATAAATGAAAGGTGTGGTGAGACATGATCATCCATGTCCTTAAAAATCATGGCACCTAAAATAAAAGATTCTGTTTAAACTGTTTAAAGTGTCTGCCTCGTGCCTATATCTAAGCTACTTAAAGATCCCGCCCATTACAAAAAGTATTTCATCCTGATTTTGTCAGTGTTATTATTATTCAGATTTGCTCTGACATAAGAATTTTTGTTATCTGTCAACAGAGATTAAAGCACGTGATTTTTGGTGCCCATCACGCCGTCAGTTTTCCGTCGCATCGCGTGCAAAACCGTTCGTTAATACCCACCTTGGCGACAACATCAACGCATTTTATTCTCTTTTAAGCGAACACCGAAGCAAGGGACGCGTAATCCGCCTTTAAATACTTTGTACGACATTGCTCGTGTTGAAAAATTCTTCTTTTTTTGTCCTTATCTTTTTTTACATAATTAGTAACATTCAAATTGCAAAATCCCACCTTACTGTGGCTTTTCATCATGCTTTAAATAGACAGTCAAAAAAAAAAAAAAAAAAAAGAAAGAAAGAAAAAGATGGGTGAATCGTTCACTGAATTTTTAAAAAATGTTTTTACTTCCGTTTTGAAGCTCTTTGCTGTAACGATCGTGGAACTGTTATAAGATGGCGTAAACTAGAAATCCACATATATAAAACGCAGAATATATAGCGTAAATTGCGGCGAATTAGTCGACCTGTCGTAGAAATCAACTTCAAGATATTGTTATTTATTATGTATAAAAATACATAATTAAGGCACAAGGACAAAAAGGGGGAGGGGTTGAGGCTGGTCAACACTAACTATGTTACACCTAGCTAATCTGATTCACGACCCATTCACTCATTAAAATTGTCACATTCACCATAAAAAAATAGTCCGTCACCAATCAATCCTCCATACACCATAATACCGCACCCTCTCAAGGGGGACCTACAAAAACGCGCCCCTTGCCATAAAAATTTAATGATAATAAATTATTATATATAAAAATCCAATAAGGAAGAATGAGAGGGGTTAGCTCAAAATTCTGATTTAGGTATACACCTACCGTATAGATCGATCCTCGAACATATAGCCAGGCTACAAGTGGCCCAAAACCTAGGGCTACAGGTAAAGAATGTTAGGCTATAGCATACGATAACCTGTACCAAATCTACATAATGTCACACCATTTACCTGTCTATTGAGACACTAACCATAATACCTTTCGATATGCATTGAATAGTAAAAAAAAAAAACCCTACAACGCACCATATAAATACCGTATACTGTATCGGTATAACTTAGCGAATATTTAAAATTATATTACTATTTTATTATTTCATATTAGTTTCATTGTTTTTATGCCAAATATGTTCACCAAACATATAGTGAGATATATCTGTGGCAGCCTGCTGGGTGTACAGTAAGTGGTGTGCAGTAATTGTTAGGAGTACTGTCCAACTTGTTTACAACTCGGTGGCAAAGGTTTGTATTTTATACCTGCCATATAAGTCGACACCTAGTTTTGGAATGATTTTTGGGGCTTGAAAAATCGACTTGTATGCTACAATTTACGGATATATATATATATATATATATATATATATATATATATATATATATATATATATATTATGCATGTACATACCACTCTTGAGTACCATCATGGTTTCCCACCTGAAGAGACGTTAATTTTTCGTTGAAGCAAGATGTACAGTTTTGTAGTGGGTATGTACAAGTTCTAATGTAACAGTGCATAATAATTAAATATTTATTGCTCTAATTTTGTATTGAGCCCTGTTTTAAATTAATGTTCTGAACGTTGAAATTTTACTCTTCGTTTTTTATATATATATATATATATATATATATATATATATATATATATATATATATATATATATATATATATCCGAATACGTGATTACTCGAGTTTAGCATATTCTAAATGCCTCAGAATTTTTAACAAAAAGTGCTCAATAAATAACTAGAGATTGTTATATAGGAATAAAAGTCGCTACCGACACTTGAGTTTGAACATAGATCGCCAGTGAGCAAATACAGGCGATCTCATTATTGAATTAAGTAGATCCGTGACCATAAAGGAAACGCATATATCGGAGGTATCGTGTGTCTAATTGATCACTCTTTCTAGTCTATCCGCTATACTATACGGGCCGCTATTCTCTACTCTATTCACTATGCTATTTATCTATTCAGATCACTTCATGGATTACTGTTCGAGCGAGTATTATCGAGCAAGTATTATTAGTGTGAGTGTTATTCGAAGACGTCTGACACCAGTATTGTTCAACGGCGTTAATATAGTTGTAGCTGTGATTATAAAGTCTCTACTACAACAAGTATTACGAAAGTGACAACGAGTATTCGTTGGCATTGCAAAGGTGGCAACGAGTGTTTATTGACATCACAAAATACACACATGTAGCACCTGTCATTTAGCCTGACGCGCGAACACAAATACACACACACACACATATATATATATATATATGTGTGTGTGTGTGTGTGTGTGTGTGTACGAGATGCTACGCAAAATTCCCAAGAACCTACGGACCAAAATAATAGCTAGCTCAAAAACCGTAAAATTCCTAGAAAATGCTTTTGTTTGGTGAACTGATTTTGATAAATGTAATTCCTGTCGGGACACGAAAAATGGCGTGTAATTTAATAGATGAATGGACTGAACAACCTGGTTAAAATCTCTAACCGCATCATTGTCTATGTGCTTTTCATATCTAAAAAAATAAACTTTTTGCTGAATTAAACATTAAATCAATTGGTTTTTCTGTGAATTATTCAAGTCATATGCGCGATTGCAAGTTACATTGTTAAATTTGTTCTCTCTCTCTCTTTCTCTCTCTCTCTCTATCATTTATTTTTTTCTTTTTGTTATTGACTAGAAAATTATCGACCAATACAGACCAAAAGAAGAAGAAGAAGAAGAAGAATCTTTACAATTCTTAAGAATATGTAGACGCATGACACTAAAAATATTCAGTCATTTTATACGCTCGCATCATACAAAGTTTATAATTACTCTTTCTTTCTTTCGTTCTTTCTTTCTTTCTTTCTTTCTTTCGTTCTTTCTTTCTTTCTTTCTTTCTTTCTTTCTGCATTTCCTTCCTTATTCCTGTATTTCATTCTTTCTTTCCGTCTGTGGCGACATTACACACATACATGCGCACACGCGCAGATATTCACAGCTACGTCCATACATACACTGTTTCAAACATATCTCGTGCAGCTGAAAAAAAGATAAAAATAGCCTCTGTTAATGGATTCTTCTTCTTAAATACTATCCTATTTGTTAATTTCAGCAGACGTAGGTGTTAAGCTTGAAAAATCCGCCCCGTGAAATTTCGAATCAATAGCGAAAGGAATTTTTTCCAGGAGAAGGCGGGAAAGCAACTGTACATGGGAAATAGAAAGGGATGACACCAAGCGGATGATTCCACGTCACCAAGTTGGAGTCAGATGAACGCAAGATGCTGAATAACGTTGTCTTTCCACAATGAACAGAATGGCGTATTTTTATAATAAATTGGTAAAGGTGTAATGAATACTACTACATACCAAATATACTAAAATTCCTTCTTTTTTTTCTTTTGATCGCTGGACTTAATTTTTCATTGACTATTTAAGTAGTTTTTTATAATCATATTCAGTTTTATATTGATACATTTAAAATATTTTAAATTCAATAAACAATTCTTGCCTTGAATTATATTATATGACTACAAAAAACTTGATAATTTTGCTAGCAAAATTAACTGAAAGAAAATTTACTATAGAAATTATTTTACTGTAGAAATACATTTAAAATTAGGAAGAAAGCGATTGTCAGTGGATAGGAATAAAAGTAAGAATTAATTATAGAATAGAGTTATTCGGCATATTAATATAAATGAAGTGAAAATTATTTTACTGTAGAAATTGTATTAAAAATAAGAAAAAGAAACATTATTAAGAGACGTGTTAATGACAGAACAGTACATTAAATTTATAATATAAACATTATTATAATATAAACATAGTACTAATAACTGTATGATATGAAGGCTTTAAAATTATTTTAATACACAGATTCATTGAAAATGATTTTATTATAGGAAAATATTGAAAATTAATTTAATAAAGAAATTCATTGAATATTATTTAAGCAGAGAAATACATTGAAAATGATTTTCCATTCGAAAGTTTTGAATATTATTTTAATAGAAAAAATTAATTGAAACTGATTTTCCATCGAAAAGTATTGAATATTATTTTTGTAGAAAAATTCATTGAATATTATTTTAAAATAGGAATTCATTGAACATTGTTTTCTATCGGAAAATATTGGAATTGATTTTAGTACAGAAATTCGTTAAATATTATTTTAATACAGAACTTCATTGAACATGATTTTAGTATAGGAATACATTAAAAATTATTTGAGAAAAAATCATTGAAAATTATTTTAGTAAAGAAATTCGTTGTATATTATTTTAGTGTAAGAATACATTGAAAAGTTTTTATTACAGATTGCGTTCCAAGATAAAATGCCCTGGTTGACTTAAAAATAAACATTAAATTGCTTTTTATCCAAACTAAAACCCTTGCCTCCGTTATAATTTGAAAACCGGCAAATATAGTTCAAAATCGTGAAGAGATAAATTCATGTTTTTTTTTCCCCTATAATCAGAGGAGATGGGTGCAAGGATTCAAATTTTAGTGAATTTAGATTTAAATTTTAACGGTTTATCTATAATTTTTAAATAATATATTACTGATAATAAATAAAGGGTATTTCTAAATATGAATAGTAATAATAATGAACAGTTTTATTAATAGTAATAACATAGTTAAGGGTTGGTGAGACGTAAAAACCAAAACCAATCAATCAGTTATTAGAAGATTGTCATTTATTGTCAGTTATTATTAACTAGTTTACCAAAGAAATAGTCAAACAATTTTGAGTAAAATGCAATTATTTTATGGTCATCAAAAGATATATTCGCGTTAAAATAAATAAAAAACATAAATAATTTATGAATTTTTATCATTTTTAAAATGAGGTAAAATTTTATTTTCACCTTTCGGTTTATTGGACAAATCTTAGAAAAGTACAATGCACACACAAAATCTATCTAGCTATTATTTCTTTATCTATCTATCTATCTATATATATATATATATATATATATATATATATATATATATATATATATATATATATATAAATGTAATGTCATCAATATGTTGTGTTCTCTTAATTCTTGTTCTTGTATTGTTCATTCTTATTAATAATGTTTTCTATTTCTCATTCAGTAATCCCTTCTAATTTAGTGCCGTTATTGCCTTGCTTAGGGTGAAGTGAAATTTGCCGAAAGAAGA